GGTCGTACTATACATGAGATCGTATTATACACGAATAAATACAGTAATCAAACTGAAGGACCAGATCTGATGACTGACTGCCTCTACAGCCTGTGCTACAGCAATGTGTAAATGAAAATCCTGAGTTACCAACAATGTTGTCATTACTCTGCTGATCCCAATGAAACCAGCTTSGAGGTCTGAAAACACACACTGATGCAACGCTGAGATGCTTCAGCTTGGTTTGTGTAAATTACTAAAAGGGAACAATGGYGGCTTAACGAGCATTGTTTCTTTGCACCAATCTGGTGTGTGAAATGGGTTTAGGAGGTGGAAAAAACACATAAATCTACACAATAATAGCTCTGTATATGAACCAACCCTGCTTCTCTGTAAGTGGACCAGACATGAGAACAGTTTTAATGCTACAGGGCACAAACAGCGGTCCATTAACGGTCACCAGTCCTGTAAATAACAAGAATCGTAAAACTTTTATTATCTAAATTAGTGAATCTTTTTTCCCCCCTTCAACTATTAGTTTAACTTTTTTTTTCAGAGATAAAAATCATCCACTTTTGGAAAAAAAAGATATATGAGCATTAATTAGATAATCAAAGTGTTTTTTAAGTTTGGGCTAATAAGCAAATTTCAACTCCCCAGTGTGTAAAATGTGAATGTATAAATCAGCAACCACTCAGCTTTCAACAAACGAATGATTGTCTCTGTGTTTTCTCACAGCAGGGATCTGAGTTTGTCCAGATTCTTTAAACAATCCACTTAGAGTCCGCTTTTACTAATTCCACTTTAACAGTCGGGTTGCTCAAGAGCAAACAGTTTTCTACAAAAGCGTAATTCAATGCGGCCTGAAATGCCAACCTGGAGTGAAAGAACACAGCCCAGCGGGAAAGTGATTATCCTGCACCTTCACTTGGCCATGAGCTGTATGAAAAGAAGCTCTGAAATCAGGTAATTCCAGTGTCCACACAACACCGCTGATTTCACAGTGTGGGATAGAAGCAATCCACGTTGTACCGCGGCACACAGGAGCATTATTATAAGCTTTAAGAGCAAAGTGGGAACGCACACTAGTGTCTCTGGCTCTCCTTAGAAGGAGACTTTAATGGAGCTTTACGCTGAGAGATTTTCGGCAGGGTCTTGTTTTGATTGTCACTATGGGAACGGACAGTCTCTGACCCATGGTTACAAGAGCGAAGGGATTTGATCGATTGACTGGGGCAACAACAGTCTTCTCCAGGTGAAGATGTCAAATGATTTAAAAGCACGGACCAGAAACCTCATCTTTGTTTGCTCACCTAATTTCTTCATCGGGAGACATTTAAACACTCGAAAGACAAGAAATCTAATCAAGACAATGAGAGGAACATGGCCACATGGGAGATTCATCTATGAACCAGTCTTCAAAGGCTGACTTTCTATCTGTAGAGTCAGTGAAGTGAMGTTTTTGGGAGTCATCGTTGATAAAAAGATGACATGGAGACCTCGTGAATTATTTAAGAACAAAAGTAGCTAAATCTATTGCATTACTATTTAAAGTAAGGGAGTTGTTTAATGATAAAGCTTTGTGTTGTATAATGTAATGATTGTTCCACATTTGGTTTACTGTGTTGAAGTCTGGGGGAAAGCAAGTAAAACAATTATAAATCTTATTATTTTGCAGAAAAGAGCTATAAGAATTATCACAAAAAAAAAACATTATGATTACCCATCAAATACATTATTTTGTCAGTTGAAATTATTGAAATTCTACGAGTTGGTTGATTACAACATTTTGCAGATTATGTATAAGGCTCATAAAATTATATTACCTTTGAACATCCAATCAAGTTTTGTTAAGAGACAAAGTTACTACAATTTAAAAAGGGACAGAGGTGTTTGTGAAACTTAAAATCCAAACTAGTTTGAAGGAACAATGCACTTCAGTTCAAGGAATAAAATTGTGGAATAACCTGGAAAATGATATTAAAAGTGCAGGATCAATGAATAAGTTTAGGAGAATGGTAAAATCCAGTCTGTTGAAGAAATATGAACTGACATAATATGTATACTTAAAAATTGTCTGAGAAAGATTTTATTTTTTTTWTTAATTATTTTTTTCTGTTTTTTTTAATCATTGAATTTCTTTTGATGGAAAAAGGCGCAGGTATTACAAGATTTTTTTTCTTCCTTCTGTTGCCTTTCATTTTACTTTTCATTTGTATTTTTTTGTATACGAATTTGCTGTGTTTTTAAATGAATGAATAAACTAAACGAAACAAAACTAAACTAAAAGAAACTAAACTGAACTAAACTTTGCAATTCAAACGCCCCTTTTCAACCCGTCCCTCAACCCCTGGATGATGAATGTGGGCAGCATAATAAAAACAACAGAGAGGAGCAGAAGCCAATTGTTTCAGGGTCCAGAGTTCCCTCATTTGGTACAGGTGGGAGCACAACGTGCCAGCCACCGTAAACAGTGTTCGGAGAGCAAAGCAAGGCCAGGTAGCTGCAGCCATGAGGTGAGCCTCTACATAAATATTGACTTTACCTACAACCCCGCTCTCCCCACCTTTTTAAATACTAAAACACGAGGGATGAGCGCATCAGGGTCTGCAAAGAGAAGAGCCTGATTTGAATGCCTCCTAMCAAAGATAAAGGACTGGTTACATGCTCGAGAGACCGGAGGCGTCGCTGGTGAATGGGTCCTCTTTATTTACCAAGGTTAAAAACCTCGCACACAGAGGAAAAACAAGTTATCTGTTAGGAAAGTTTAAACAGACTTCTTGTATGAGTTTAGCTCGGGCGTGAACAGTTTGATTTCTACAGAGGATTCAAGAAAAAAACAAAGTTAGGTTTCCTCAGACTTTAACTTTAGCAATAAAGGCATCTGGAAACAGATTTCCCTGGGGCATTCTGCTGCCAGCTTCCATGTCTGACTGGATGGCTCTGAAGCAGCTGTGACTACAGCAGACAGTTGCAAATACTAATAGAGTATGAACAAGTTTGAGTACCCCGGGGGGCAAACATCACAGTTTGTTGATTTTTTGAAGTGGAAATATGAAAACGCATCTCCGGCGGCTAACAAATATTGCAAAATTAGCATTTTTTCACATTAYTACAGCAATTCAGTTCTGCTAACAAAACTTATTTCAAAAAACTTACTATTTTTACTTTTAACATGTTTGAAGTATACCGAGTATAAAAACACAGATTTTCAGTGGGGTCGTTGACACTTGGAATATTTCCTACATGAGGTAATGAAGTTAAAATTTGAGCTTTGTCTGATTTCCTCTGTGTGAAATGAAACAGGATATAAAATATATTGAATTCAACAATAACATTACAGTAATGTAGCAGTTTTATAATTATTATTTTTGCATTTCCGTCATTTTAAGCAAGCCCATCGATGACAGTGAAAAAAGTGACTTTTTTTAAACMGTAATAATTATCAAAATCAGTTTTTCTAATCTTTTCTTTTACAGCTCCATTGTAGTTTTAGGTGTAAATTTTCATTATTACAGTATAAAATTGCCATTTTGGTTAGCATTGTGACCCCAGCAGGAAGGCCTAGGCTAAATCTTGGCAGCAGCTTTGCTGTGTGTCGTTTGCGTGTTCTACCCGTGTGAGGAAATGAAATAAAATAATAAGGATGCGATCACTTCATTTTGTAGATTTTAGGAGTTTCTCTGAAATGGCAGAAAAGATGATTTTGTTGCTTTTTTTCTGTGAAATAATCAAGACTCATCTATCGGGACACCTAAGTGATTATTTTAGCTCTTTCAGGCATTAATAGAAATATTTTATCCTTTAGAGATTCATCAAGGAGAGGAAGAAAGACGTAAACATTTTCAACTTTTGAACCTGTTATTAAAAGGTGTAAAAACAGCCTTGGAAGATGTTTCTTTATTTAAACCTAATTAAAGCCCAAYCACATTTGGGTCTTATGGTGTAAAATAAACTGTTTTAAAACCCCTTCATTCAAAGCAAATGAGTAATGATAGTTGTAGTAGTCTGAGTGTGAACAGAATCAGGTATATTTTGAGGACTTGAACTTTCTGCTGTGAGGTGTTTAAAATTTGAAGTGGGAGAAACAGCGGTCCTGGTTTTAGTCAGGCCAATGCAACATTTACAGATCAGCCCAGGATTTAATCAAGTGTCACTTTCCTGTTTTTGTAGGTGACTCTGAAGAGTCACCTGAAGCTAAAATATCAGATTGAGACAGAAATAATGAGGGGACAGAGTTTTATTCCCTGAGGGCCTCCTGTACAGAACTAGGTGACCCACGTCTCATTTCATTTGTGAAATAGTGATGGTGACGAGTGTTAGAGACAAAGTCAAAGTGAGCTGCGTCTTGGCTTGTGCACATTTCCCAAAGAGGACTTTGATGTTGTTGACTTATCTTTTTATTTGGATCAGATAAGAATAGTCAAAATCTTCTTCTTTATAAAGGCTATATTTTATTTCGGAGGCAATGATAGAAAACATAACTTAAAAAAATTTGAYGATCATATATCACGAGCTGTATTTACTGATGAGGTGCCTGATAAATTTTGCCTAATTTTAAAAAAATCCACCACATTCTTCAGCTAAATMCTTTTGCTCCTTAGCATTCATCAGCACCAACAGTAGAGCCACTTTAAACATCTTTATTGGAATTCATACAASGTTTTACAAGTCAGACTTAAATATTCTGCAGCTTTGTACATTTTCACCAACATAAAGTGCGACTTTAATCACCAAACATCACTAAAGCTGAGGTCACGACACGAAACACAACAGTTAAATCAGGTCACATCAGTATCATTTGGGTGGGGGAGGGCTTGCCGCTGAMGGAGGAGAGCACAACGTTTGATTTTTCAAGTTACGACACAAACACAGGAGCTGATTGCAGCACAGCTCCAAACTCATCCACACAATGACACACAAACACACGTTCAGCTTCGAGCGGCCACAGCTGGAGCCTGCTGCTGGTCAGTGGACTGCAGCTGTCTTCCCAGATACTCCCTGTGAAGGAAAAACACCAGATTAGACTTTACAGTTCCATCACAGTGGAGATTACAGGGTTATTTAAGGCAACTTATACCCTCCCAGAGAAAAAAGGCTGAAACTCTGCTTATGTATTGTAAAGCGTTTTGAAACTTCTAGGGTAATAATATGTTTTMAGAGTTTGGATGTCAGTAAAAAGTAACATCACATAAAGAAGTTTTATAAATATGGCATCTATTAGGTGCATGCCAACACTTTCAAATCACTGATAACAAGGCATCAGAATATTTTCACAGGTTCATGGTCGGTGGTCCTGATGGGAACATGACACCTTTAACAAACCAGCGGTTGATGTTCTGTTCTATACTTGAAGCCACAATCATTGGATATTTCTGAGATAATTTTAAAAAAAATTTGTAATCTCAGCTTTAATTTAATCCATTTCTATTTATGTACCATTTTAAAATATTAAAGGGTTTAATAATATAATGTAAAATGTCCCCTATTTTACTTTAAAATAGACACAGGTATTAGTATTACAATGCATTTAAAAATACTTCTTTAGCTCTATATCAATCTCGTCTATGAGTAGTGATTTTCTGTCAAAACTGCTGTATGTTTACACATTTTAATCTGTGATTAATGAGTTGCAAAGCTGCTGGTAAAGACTGTAATATTGTACAACTAAAGCCTGATTTGAATGCATTTTATCTTTTAATCCACTTACTATCTCTGTGGAATTACATCAGTTATTACTCGTTAATAAGAGAGCAAGTTTCAGTGGAGCTTCTTGTTCTGAGAAATGAGCTCATTCCTCTTGTTCTGACCCATATGTTATGCACTGCTGAAATATGATGATGGTTTTTTTGAAAGGTCGCAGCCGTCTTTCAGCTGTCTTCATCTTGACAGAAACATTTTAGATCGTGACACTCACCTTATTGGAAGCAGAATTATCAAGGGCCGCTCGGGAGCCTAATGATGGGAAAAGGCTGGCCAATCTTTTGGATAATGTGGACTACTTTCTTCTTAAAAAAAGCACCACTGTCAGAATATTTTCACTGTCTTTACCCACAGAGCTCCAGCTGTTTGAACTTCCCAAAAACAAATTTCCTACAATTTTTCACTGAATGCCATACTTTTCTATATTTACAGCAAATAAGAATCACAGCAGTGACATGATTACAGAGGACAGCAGAAAAAGTTTTCTGTCAGAAACAAAAAARTACTTTTAAATATTTCAGTCTGGTGCCTTTCTTTCTTAAAATAGATGCTACTTCTATACTGGAAAAATGTTTCTGTACCTCAGAAAGCACCAAAATGAGACAAAATCTTTACACTCATCAAAAAATACAATTATGATTCTTTATGACAGTTTAGTCCTCCTGCACCCCACCTCTGTTAAAGAGTAACTTACCCCAAAATTAACTTTTTTTTAGCTGATAAACTGTCTAGAATGTGTCTAAAATGTTATATARTACTGTTTCTGTGCTAATTTTGATGTTTTTGTGCGTATTTGTTCAAATCTGTAATATTTAGTCTAAAAACGTCTTTTTGCTGCTCATATGGGTAGAGCAG